GGAGGGACCAGCCGCGGAGGCACCAGCCGCTGAGGCACGAACCGTGGAGGGACCAGCCGCTGAGGCACGAGCCGTGGAGGGACCAGCCGTTGAGGCACGAGCCGTGGAGGGACCAGCCGTTGAGGCACGAGCCGTGGAGGGACCAGCCGTTGAGGCACGAGCCGTGGAGGGACCAGCCGTTGAGGCACGAGCCGTGGAGGGACCAGCCGTTGAGGCACGAGCCACGGAGGGACCAGCCGTTGAGGCACGAGCCACGGAGGGACCAGCTGCAAAGGCACCAGCCGCTGAGGCACGAGCCGTGGAGGGACCAGCTCTGCAGTCAACAGCCGTGGAGGAACCACCTTCCTCATCCATGGAATCCTGCACTTTTTTTAGGAAGCTCACAGAGGCTGGTGTGCGAGGAATGCTTTGCCTTCTTTTCATGAATGGGTACACCAGCGCTTTCCCCAGCTCCTCCAGAAAATTCCTCCTCCTGGAACTTTTCCCCTGTCTCCAGGTGGGATTGATTTCCCTCCACAGCACAAATGAATTGTAGGCTAAGACATCGATTATATTGAAGAAGAGAGCCATGGGCCAGCGAGCTGTCTTCCGTCCACATGTGTATGTTGCAACGATCTGGAATATTACACACACACACATGCACAAATTTTTAGTAAATGTTCTGTCATTTAGTGCAATTTACTTTTTTTTTTCCAGTTCATTTCAACTTCAGTTTACCATTATTTCAATAAAAGCTGTCTTACTCTGATGCAGTCTTACCAGTTAATTTGTGTGTGTGTGTGTGTGTGTGTGTGTGTGTGTGTGTGTGAGTGAGAGAGAGAGAGAGAGAGAGAGAGAGAGAGAAAGCGAGCCTTTTGTTGTTTGTTTTCATTTATTTTATTCAACATATTCTCACAATGTGCTCTGTTGCAGTCTTACCAGTTCATTTCTGTGTGTGTTGTGTGTGTGTGAGAGAGAGAGCCCCTTTTGTATTTTTTTCCATTTATTGATTGGTGTCTATTTTGCACTCCTGATATTCTAGAGAGTCACCCCTTGATTGCTGCACACTTTTTTTCTGACCAGTGGATGATTTGTAGTTTGTACCACCAAAAGATTCACTGAGTTTTCACATTTTTTCGTATTTCCCATTCATTTCCTATGTCGGTCATTTTTGACCGCGAAGAAGTCAAAAGTGTGACTATTTTTTTTTTGACCCTTTAACATATCCGAATCATGTCCATGAAATTTTTTTGTGTGTTCATATTGCTAATGTGACAAAAGTCACCAAGTGTCATCTCATTCCGATGAAGCTACGATTTTTAAAAATTCTAAATATACAATTTTTCGGTCAAAAATGACCGAAGAGGGCCAGAGGGTTAAGACTGGTTTTGTGGTCCAGGGTGGAATCTATTAAATATAATCTACATATTAGATACAAAATATAAATCATATAAACCTTCTTGCACCATCTACACAAATTAACTTAGTCAATTTGGAATATTACTATTAAAAATGTATATAATTTTAAAATGAATACTGTTTCCCCCCTCATGTCTTTGTGTTTGCACTTCAGAGAGAAGTCGGTACCAGAGCATGCTGGGACCAGTGACCCGATTGAAGCCATGAGAAGCATCCGTAAGGAGAAGGACGGCTTTAGAGTCCCAAAGAATTGAGCTTTCAGGCTTGTCTTTCCGATGGTCATCACCACTACGCTTATATCTGCTCATCACTTGACTAACAATCGCAGGACATGCAGAAACTCCATTTACAGCAAAAGCACAATCATTGAGCTGGTATGTTATTTCCATGTTTTTTCTTTAAGACAGCGTATCGTCTTCGGTGAGCAATAAATAGGATTGTTAACCTGTAAAACAATGTTATTTAAAACATTGCTGCAAGCAATAGATCAAACAAAAACAAATTATTTACAATGTTTTCATGAATACATTTATGCCACTGATTCGCATTGATAGAAAATTCAAATGTACTAGGTCTGTTTTGTAGGCACAATTTTATTTACGCAAGTTTACGTAGGTTTTATTTTTGACATTTTCAGCTTTTGGGAAGAGCCAGGCCATGTGGTTAAATTATAGTTTTATGTCGAAATGTTTGTCTTAATGTGCAATGTTTTATTTTGTAAATCAAAAAGAATTATTTTTAAGATGTTATGAACAAAGCGTATTTTTATGTCAATCAGAAAATGACATTTGATGAAATTGTGTTTATTCTGATGTCTCTGGATGATTTTGAATATAGAAATTATTGAACAATGCATACTGGTTTTTCGCCTTGTTTTATCTCATCCAGTTATTGTTTCAGCCGAACTTGCACTTTTTGTCATCAAAAATAACAGATATTATTAATTATAATTATAGTGTTCATACTGAATAAAGTCTTAATGTAAATTTACATAGCTGTTTGTTTTTTTCATAAATCCAGCTACAATCTTGATTAATGATGTGTTGTTTTATTACCTTATTTTGTATAAAACAATATTAAGTACTAATTGTTAAACACAAATTTTTCTTGTTGCAATAAAAGTTTTCCAACCTTCTTGAACCTATTGTATTACCAAACGATTTACATACAATTTTGCTTAATAAAATTATAATAATTCAAAGTATCAAATTACAGTTTTAAATGTCACATGTAAATGAAAAAAAAAAAAATGGCAATATCAAGATCATTTAATATTTAAGAGTTTTTTTGTTGTTTTGGTCATTTAAAAAAAGCCCAGAATCAAAATACCTATATTAAAGAAAAAATTAGTGCTGTCAAACGATTAATCGCATCCCCCCAAAAAAATGTTTGTTTACATAATATGTGTGTGTGTGTGTGTACTGTGTATGTTTATTATGTACATATAAATACACACCCATGTATATATTTAAAAAATAAGATATGTTTATATTTTAAATATATTTATATATAATATATGTAAATATTTTTTAAATATATACTGTGTGTATTTATATATACATAATAAATAAACAGTACACACATGTAAACAAAAACTTATTTTGGATGCGATTAATCGTTTGACAGCACTAGAAAAAAGTAAATCACAAATATATACATAAAGAATTAATAGAATTAAAATATATTTATAGTTCATTTTCTCAATAAATAGAATTACATTCATGGAATAATTCATATATTTATTATCATAAATCAAAATATATTTTAAAAAAGAAGAAAAGGTATAATTTTCAGTGCATACTACATAGTAACATCTATTGCGTTTTTTTTGCATTCAACACTTTCAAAGTAACAAACTCACAAATACATGAAAGAAAACAATAACACAAGGCAACATTCATGGACATAGAAAAATTGCCTACTGCTAAAAGACACATAAAGACCGGTTTAATTTGTAGGCTGACCCCAACCTTTTCCAGCGGATACTTTATAGAAGCAGGAAATAGAACTTCATCTGTCTTATCAAACATAATCACATTTGCTAATGGCGTGTCTAGAAGTGTTTAGCTGGTGTAGTGTCAAATGCATCTTAAAGTGTAACTTGACTTCGACAAACATTTAACGGAAGGCAAAGAAACAACTTAAATGGTTCATCAGTAGGCCTGTCGCAATAATCAATATATCGACTTATCGCGCAACATACAGTGGGTACGGAAAGTATTCAGACCCCCTTAAATTTTTCACTCTTTGTTATATTGCAGCCATTTGCTAAAATCATTTAAGTTAATT